CTAATCATCATCTTGGGAGCAACCTGAAAGGGGCTGGAGTGCATTTCTCTCTCTCAGTTTCAAGTGTTCCTTCCCAGATTCAGTTAGAAGGTTGAAATTGGAGCACTCTTGAGTCTGTCCTGACACTTGCCAGAACTTGGCCTACGGAGCGGGCAGTCCCTGGGCTGAAAAAGTCTTGTTTCAGGCAAATTTTTAAGGCTCTAGTGAAATGAAGCCATGTTACTGTGGAAAGTTTTGCTGGTAGCAAGAAAGGGAAAAGAATCTTACTTCCTGACTACGGATTATTTTCTAAACTTTCCCTGCTCTTTGGCTGGCAGTGTGTGGGATCAAGAGTAGTTTATGCAACTTTCAGATGGTAGATTTGGTTCTTGAAGTCTTGAATCCGAGCACTGGCAGAGGTCTGAGCAGGAAGAGGCGGCTGCAGGAAGATTCTGTCGGGGTGTGAGTTGTCTGCAAATAAAGTTCACCGAGGGCCATTCCTAGAGCATGCATTTGAATTGTTTTCTAAAAATGTAGCACTACTTCATTTTGCTGGGTAGTTATGTAGGTCTAAATTGTGCTTTATTCCTGACCTCCAGGTTGTCGTGGGAGACAAAGTTGTCCTGATGCCAGTAAATGCAGGGCAGCCTCTGCATGCCAGCAACATTGAGCTTCTAGATAATCCCGGCTGCAAAGAGGTGAGTGCAGCAGAGGAGGGGTAGTTGCCTTTCTGAAGTGTGTCCTACCCTGTTCCTTACTGGTACCTAGCACCCCATCATAGGATAGATGCCAGTACTATACACTGGTTCCTGCTTGACCCCAAAAGTGCAAGGTGCAATGCACATATTGTACAGAGATCTGCCTGAGGTTTGTTCGACCTCAGTTTGCTTGAGTAGTGTTTTGCCCTCTAAGTCTTCTCCAACATCAGCACGATTATTTATCAGCCCTTGAGAGCTTCAGGACCCATGCCAGGAACTGCACTGACCTCTAGGCTATGGCCTCTGTTGCTCTGAGTGTAACATGTTCATATTAGAAGAACAGAATGTCTTGAGAAGAGCAGCTCTTACAACTCTAATTGTGTTTTTTCCTAAAGGTAAATGCTGTTAACTGCAACACAAGCTGGAAAATAACTTTGTTCATGAAATTCAGTAGTTACCGAGATGATGTGCTGAAAGGAGTAAGTATTTTTTTTGTTTGTTATTGTTTTTTTTTTGAATAATTATTTTTCAAGTCTGAAAATCATACTGTATCTGACTTATATTTGTCAGAAGTTGACAAAATTTCCTTCACTAGTGTTCTTCATAAGCCAAAGACAGTGTTTTTCCTTTATGTTATTTTCTTAACAAGGGGAAAGGTCTGGAAGGTTTCAGCTTCCAACCTATTTCCTCTCCTTGGGAAATCTAACGAAACATGAACCAAGATGAAGTTCAAGTGCAGAATCATGAGGACTCTGTATAGAATAGCTGTGGCAGTTAAAGGCAAGATGCAGGTATAACAAGCTACAGGAGGGAATAAGGCATGAAAAAATGACAATAACTGTAATAAGAAAATGTAACTATCAAAGATGACAGTGCACACAGCTTCGTGCCTCTGGATCACTCCCTGAGATCATTTACACCTTCATTTTAAATATCATTTGTCCTTGCTTGCCCCTTAATGAGTTGTTATCAACTGGCTATTTTTTGGTAGGTAGCAAGGTAGCAGCAGGTTCTGAGGGAGTATTTGAAAGGGAAAGTGGTTTATCTCTGTAGACTAATAGGGGTGTGATGTTCAAAACTTTGGTGAGAGGCAGAAAGAAGCAAAAGTGATGCTAATGGAAGAAACAGGGAAGGCGTACTGGTTTTAGCTGCAAATGCTTTTGAAGGTCTTTGTTTCTATTGGGATGAAAAGAAAAGGTGAGACTGTGGTAGGGAAGCAAAACTGGAGGTGAGGGGCAAAGCAGAACAGAGTCATATGGAAAGCTTGAGGCAATGAAGGAAGGCTGCAGAGGTCTTGAGGTTATTGAACTTGCCCAAGGACTGTCGCAGACCCTAACTAGTCAGGTCTAGTTAGGGAGAGGGGGCTTTGGCTCTCTGGGATTAAAGACAGCGCAAAAACTGTGAAGGGCCGTAATGTACCTTGAAACATGACTGGAAACTATTCAATTTCTCTAAATACTAAGATTGATCAGACAGAGAAAATCCATTCATTAAACTGAAACTAAAATTCAAAATCATTAGTCCAACTGCTGCCTAGTAGTATTTACAGTGTTCCAAAATAAATTTTACTTTCACTAAAATTTGTGGAATTTGTACAGGAATGAATTTTCTTAGTCTTGACACTGAGTCTGGAGAATGCTTAAAGGGTATATGCTCTACTCCAGCAATGGCAAACCAAGAAATGTTCTCTCCACGTCAGTGTTCTTGGCATCACTGGAATTAGTATAGATAACAAGAATGAGTCCAGCTGCTTTGCCTACCACTTAATAATCCTTCTTTTTTTTTTCTATTTCTTTAGGGAGATGTTGTCAGATTGTTTCATGCAGAGCAAGAGAAGTTTCTGACCTGTGATGAATACGAGAAGAAGCAACATATTTTCCTTCGTACTACGTTGCGTCAATCAGCCACTTCTGCAACAAGCTCTAAAGCACTGTGGGAAATAGAGGTATATATTTTTTCCTTTTTATAAATATTTAAGGACCTAAAGGCCAGGGTTCAGTAAAAATACTTTGCCACAACATGAATCATTCATAGCCTCTTGATATCATTGTACACTTCCCCGTAAATGTTATTATTTTATGAAGCAGTTTATGTAGGATGAACACTGAAAAGATGCTTTACTGCTGTGAACACATGTGGGGAGGGGATGATTTCTTTCTAAATTTAGCTGTACTGAAATGAAATGATGATGGGCCAAGTTCAGACTTGACATGAATGGTGCCATTTTATCAAAGCAGCTGAATGACAGTCATGTATCCTGAGTTCTGATTGTTTATATTTGGCTTCTGTGATACAGAAGATGGAAACTAATGACTGACAGGAAATCACACAAATGTGATTGAGTCCATTCTTCTGCAGGAAGGTGCTTAAACGTTGAAGTTAGGTTGAAAAAAGGTGTCTTTGCTGAATAGGAGTGATTTTCAGAAGGTATCTAGCAGATGAACTTCAATTAATTGAGAAACGTTGGAAATCGGTATGCCAGAAAACCTTGCTGTTACAGTAATAAAACTCCTGCACTGAAAAGTTCTTAGACTTGGAGCAAATGGTGCATTTAAAGCAAGAGCTCCTCGCTCAGGCAAACAGCTGTTTTTTCCCTGAGTAAGGACTGTATTGAATATGCAGTGTGTATTGCATTTTTGCCCTTCCAGCTATTCAACATTACCCCATAGAATAGAGAGGCACTGCTAGACTTAATGTAGCAAATAAATTATAGCTCAGCTGAGGGAAAAAAAAAAATCTGGAGCTTTCAAATAATATGGGGACTTTCAATCACTTGAAAGGCAATTCATCAAAAGGCCCCAGTGTTTTCAAAAATAGAGTTGGTGTAGTGGTGAAACAAAGTAACAAGGTTTAAGTTCTATTTTTAAGTCATGCCTTTGCAAGTGTAAAGCAGCTACATTTACTTTGCTGAACTCTAGATACGCACCAGGGGAACTGAAAGCAAAATTTGGCTCATTATGTTTGCAATAAATAGATTAATGAAAATATGGAAAGTAATAGGAGGTGTATTTCTTAGCACCCAGTAAAAAGTAAGTAGTTGTTATCTAGGATGGGCTTAGTGTGAGCACAGAATTCCTCTCAGTGGTAGCCTGTTTGTAATTATGCAATTTACATATTTTTATTTGCAGTATTGGCAGCAGTAGCTTTGGCATGATTACTCTTTCAGTGTAATTAAGAGAATAGTAGGTCGGATGAGCTCTAAGAATTGTCAGTGATCTGTCTATATATGATCTTGAGGACTTCCAGTGTGGTTAAAAATCTGTATTTCTTCTTTTAGGTTGTGCATCATGACCCTTGCCGGGGAGGGGCAGGACAGTGGAATAGCTTGTTTAGATTTAAGCATTTGGCAACTGGCAACTACTTAGCTGCGGAGGTAAGAACATCAGTTAAAGAAGTGGTTGTGTGTTGTCTAACAAAGTACCATACATGTTGTGCTAATTCAGAGCTGCTGTAGTAGGTAAGTCTATAACACAGGTCCCTCAAAAGGTCCCATGTCAGCTCTCCATGGGGAGGATTGGATGTGCAGTGCAGGGTAAGTTTTTTGAACTGCAGGGCAATAGCAGGTGAGTTCTAGAAACATCTACCCTGAGTTTCAACTCTGCTGGTGAATCTTGGATTTATTGCTTGTTGTCATGATGCCAAGGCAAACACCAGTGTCACACACCCACCATATTTAGATTTAAAATCCTGGATCCATTTGTTTCTCCACTCTTCTTTGTTCTTGATCTTTGGAGTTTTATTGTGATGGGTCAAGTAAGTGATCTTTGATCAAGTCATCTTTCCTGGTCTGGGCATCCATATACAGACTAAAAGTTTGAGAATGGAACTGGTGATCATTGGTGATCATATATGGTGATCATTGAGCTTGATCAGAGAAATCAGCTTGCAGATGCCAGAAGGGGTACTCTGGACTGCTCTGCTCAGGTGCTGTAATTCCTTTTTCTTTTCCCCCACTGAATCTAGACTTCCTTAAAAATAGTTTCACAGTGCTTATTTAAAGTTTTGAAATATGCCAGCCTGCAAATGGCCTAAGGTATCTCTTTGTTCCATACAAGCTTGGGAGGGATGAGTTTGTTGTGTACGAGTGTCATGACTTTTGGTGGCATCCTTGTGCATTATGGTTAGGACTGATTGAAGTGTTCCGCTGTAATACTCTTGACTGAAAAATGGGAGGAAGACTTGTTTGAGGAAATCTTTGGCCCTTTTAGGGAACAGGGGATCCAGGAGAAGGAGAAGGGAGATTTTAAAACTTGTCTAGTTGTTATCTGGTGCTTTAAGGTAAAATGATCTTGTGACTTTCCAGAAGAGCGGCTTGTTATCTTTTAAAATGCATAATTGTCCTTAAAAATAAAACAGGGCTCTTGGCAAGCTGGGAGAGAGCAGATAACACCAAGTTTCTGAAATAGGAAATGCTTGGATTTTTCCATGGCTACAAGAAGCAGTGAGCTTTCTAAGTCAAGCCTGTTCTGTACTAGGTTTCTTTGTGTCTGAGTTGTATCAATGGAATGAAAAGGAGGGGTTTTTTTTTCCACTGATTTAGTGAAGTCTGTGCATTCCCACTTTGTCTTATGCTTGCAAGCATGCATATGAAAATTTACAACTATAACTACAAGACTCACTTATAAATCAGGATGTATTAGGGAATCCCTGAAAAAAAAAAAAGAAAAAAAAGGCTTGATCTGTTATAACCTGGGAGAGTTAAGTTACAGCAAAACAACGTTTGTGTGGAGACAAGGTCTTAGGATTCCTGGAATGCTACTTTCACTTCCCAGCTCCTGTCACAGCCTAACTGATTTCAGGGTAAGAGCAAACAGAAGCTATCAAGCCCATACTTATTTCTAATTATTTCGAAAGCAGTGTCAAAATATCAACAGTGGTTCTCCAGAGCAGACACTGGTCATATTTTCCATTTAAGAATGACAGCAATTTGTGATTTTTTTTTTCTTCAGTTTTAGCAATAACTCACAGTATAAGTGAGAATTCTAATAGACCTGGAATCCTTGGCCGAGTGAATGGAGAGCATGATCTCTTGAATGCTCTGGGTCCATATGCCTTAACTGCTGTGCTCCACGCTGCTGGGTCTCTAGTGTAGCAATAGCTTGGCTTAGCTGTAGCCGCCTGCCTTCAGTATGGTAGCTAATATTGGCCAGCACTAGCTAATTTTCAAGGGGCAACCAATACTCCCACCTAAGAGGCAGCCCCAGTGTTCTCTGCTTACGCTGTGACACTCCTGCTAGAAGGATGTTGCTTAGATGCTGTCGTTGAGCATAATGGTGAAGCATGCGTACCAGAAAGACGTGCAGAACCCTGTGTCATGTTGCCTAACCGGCCCCAGTTTGTCCCGAAGCAGCAGTATACAAAAGCCAACCTTCCCCTCATTTTTAGGGAGGAGTGTGCAAGTCCATGCCACAAATGTGCTGAGCAGGCCCGGACTTGGTTCAACTGCTTCACATGTCCTTTGGCACTGCTCTCCTCCCTGTACCCATAGTTGTCTCCCCGTAAATCAGTTCCCATAAATCAGTAATGGAAGGTCAGGAAAGGCATTTTTTTCCCCACTGTGCTCTCTCAGTGCTCAAGCATGCTGGCTGGCTGACTGACTGGTGAGCTTCGCTTTCCTATTATGCCTCATCTGCTTGGGGATTTTCGGGAGAAAAATCCTCAGGTGAAGAGGGGTCACACTTCGCTGAATGCTGAAACTGAGCTTAGGACCATTCTATGTCTGGGAAGGAAATTCCCATCAGGAAGATGTTAAATATGGAGAAGGAAGCTGGCACATTACCGTAAAAGCTGGAAAAGCATTTGGGTTGAACACTTTCCATTCTGTGACTGGAAAGTGGCATTAGCTACTGTATCTATCTATGGGGTGTGGAATACCTGCTGGTGGAGATATTAAAGGTAATGCTGTAATAAAAAACCCATGAACTGTATTTTTCACAGTTCGCATGTCAGGCACAACACACCAGCCAGACATCCATGTCAAAGATTTATGAACAGGCAGGCAGACTCGTATTGTGCGTGAGCAAACTTTAAATCAGTTGCTCAAAGCTTACTGAACACTTATCTGCGCTCTTGCAGCGCAGGAAGATTACTCATGGCATTGACTATCAACAGCGTCACACATTGCCATGACTTGATTTTGTTTAAGCCTCCATGATAAAAGATATCTAGAGTGGAATAAAAAGTACAAGCAAACAGAATTCATGAATCTCTCAAACACTCAGTTGTTGGCTAATGGTACTATTGCTGTCACAGCCGAGTAAGTCAGTATTAATCGCTTCTTAAAACTGTCCTTTTCTTACTATACCCTTCTGTACATCAACTTGACGTGTACCATGCAGGCTTCTGCACTGGAAGCTTGAACAGGTCACATCTCACACAGAAAAGAGAAGTGTCTTTCACTGGAAGCCTCTCTTCTTCGCCACTGGACTTACGTCTTGTGTGTAAGCAGAGCAGTGCCTTCTCTTTCTCTGTGCCTCCCTGTGCCAGATGTAGCTGGTCAGTGTGATTTGTGACGAGGTCTGGACCATCTAGTGGAGTAAACCCACTGTGGCTTTTTAAGGGCTAGGGCTTGGTCCGGGGGCCAAGGAAATTCAAGGCACTTGCTCCAGAGAATTCAGGAATTTCAAATTAAGAAATTAACAGATGTTTCAGTGGAAATCCTGAACATATTACAGTTAGTAAGTTTAAATAAAAAATGGAGGCAATACAATTATTCAATAAATAAAAGACTTACAGATCAGTACTTGTAAATCTAATACTTGTAAAGTTTAGAGTAAGAGATCAGGGCTTCTGTGTCCTAAATTCCAGGCTCCTGAAAGTCATAATCAGCTGCCCAGCGTTAGGTACTTTTCAAAGACTGTGATCCTTTGACCCTGCTGACTTGTCACATAGTCTAACCTAACACCATTTCCTTTAATTCTCCTTCCACCCGCATAGCTTAGACTGATTTCTTTAATATGCTTTGAAGTTCCTTAAGACCTACCAAGACTATAAAGCAACCCAGAGCCAAACAGACTGCAGGCTGAAGATGCACCACCTTCAAGGTCACTTGCTAAAGGAGACCCAGTAGAAGACATTTCCTCTTCTCTCTCTCCTCTCTCCTGCCAGATTGCACACCCTAGGGGCATGGTCTGACACTCCAGATATAGCTCCGCATAGCCCATGGCTTGAGGCACAGAAAGAATTGAAGAGTTTCGTGTTTGATAGTAAGAGTTTTTGAGATAGCTGGGATAGGTGGTAATGTCTCATAAGTGTCTAGCCTTTGGAAACCTGAAGCTGTTGTCTCGGACATTCCCAAAACATTGAAATTGTAAAAAGGTGCAACTGAACCAGAATCACATCTGGAAAATTGGAAGGTGAAATTTTCTTCTGCTTTAGAGACAGTGGGAGTTCTGCTGTTAATGTCAGAAGGGCTTGATTTCACCTGGAAAAGCTGAGACAGATCCTTAGCTGGAGCTTTAAACACTAAGCTTCCAGCTAAGATCCAGGCTGCTGAGTTTTATTCTGATCTTCACAGAGTCAGCAGTCTTTTAGAAAAAAGTTCTGTAACAGATTCTTTTTTTAGCCCTGTTACAGCAAAATGACCCAAGTTATTTTGAACTTCTTATATTTATGGAGGGGCTGTAAGGTTAGGTGAAAATTGAATGCTTCAAAGTAACAAGAATCTTCCCTATATTTTTAAAAAGTCTTTTCGGTGCATGCTCCCCATGTAGAAAGCACCCAAATCTGCCTCCCTGCGTGGGAGCCAGCTGTAATCAACTTGAACAGCCTTTCAGATGCTGCATGTTGGGGCGGCACAGCTGTGCCTTTCCCATGACCACACCAAACCTTTTCGTTTTTCTAATCATTAGGATAAAAGTCTCTTTGAAGGGAATGTCAGTGTATTGATTGTTGCTAAGCCAGAACATGCACAGTTAGTATTGTTCTCCACGGGTGCAAGAGCTCCAGTTCTGTGATTACTAAACTGGATAATCTACACTCAGACTATTAATCCTTGCTATATGAGGATGTAAAACAGCAGTATGTATGCCTGCACACACACGTGGGCACATGCAAGAAATGCAGGGTAAGGCTGTCATTTCATGTTTAGCTTTTCAGGCAAGAAGAATATTGCTAAAGCAATCACAAATGCTTGTACAAGTATCAAATCACATGCTGTTTTAAGATATTGCAGTAGGCAGTAGATAATCCACAGTGTATTGCTGTGTGAACACGTACATAATCATAAGACAGTGCAGAAATTGTAATGTGATAGTTCTGTTTTATTTAGTTGAACAGGCTAGCATTATTAGCTACCTTGGAAAGACATGGCAGTAAATCTGGTAGGGTGTCTTTAACAATGAATTACTTCAAATGAAGTAAAATGATGCAGGT